TTTTTTTTTTTTTTTTTTTTTTTTTTTTTTTCTTTCTTTCTCTTTCATGGATATCAAATTATTAAGGTTAAAGGTCAGAGAACCGGACGAGAAAATTTTTTTGCCGTGATTCTTTGAAAAATTTCTTTGAGTTGACAAGTAGTAGAAATTAATTAAAATATTTAGATTGGATTCTCGCGTTTCTTGAAAAATTTGTTGGTAAACGTTTCTTTGAGCAACGAAAATTAATATAACTTAAATTAATATAAATTAATATAAAAATTAATAAACGAATATAAAATATTTAATTATAATATATATTATAATATAATATATTAAATTAATAATAATAAATATTTATTATAAAATGTAAAACGTTTCTTTGAGCAGTGAAAATTAATTTAATTTAGGTTGCGTTCTCATTGAAGCGATAATGTTCCTTGAGAAATTTTTTGGTAAACGTTTCTCTTTGAACATTTCTCATTGAAGGGACGATGTTTCTTGAAAAAAAATTTCATGGCAAACGTTTCTTTGAATTAACAAAAATCGAAAATTATCGTTTCGATAAAATATTAAGATCCGGGTTTTTTTTTGAAAAATTTATTGATAAACATTTCTTTGATATTAATTAATTAATTAAAATATTTAGATTGCGTTCTCATTGAAACTACGATATTTCTTGTTGTTTCTTTGAGTTTAATGAAAATTGTGGTTTCGATGAAATTAAAATTGCTTTCTTTTTTGAAAAATTTGTTGTTAAACGTTTCTTTACCGAGTACTTTCTTCGAGTTGACAGTAATGAAAATTAATTAAAATATTTAGGTTGCATTCTCATTGAAACGACAACGACGATATTCCTTGAAAAATTTGTTGGTAAATATTTCTTTGAGCAATGAAAATTGTCGTTTCGATAAAATATTTTGATAAAGTTGCTTCCTTTCTTGAAAAATTTGTTGATAATATAATAAAACGTTTCTTTGAGTAATGAAAATTGTCCCTTTGATAAAATATTAAGATATATCCTTATTGAAACGATAATCGAATAACGAATTTTATATTAATATTTTTTTGGAAAATTTGTAAATTTTTCTTTGAATTGTAATAATAATGAAAATTAAAATATTTAAGTTGAATTCTCATCGAAACGACAACGACGAATCTTACATTGACATTTTTGGAGAAAAAAATTCGTTAACAAATTTCCCTTCAAGTTTTTCTGCTAAATAATAAAAATTGCTATTTTTGTTCATAAAGAAAGATAAATATTAAAAAAAAAAAGAAACGGAATTTATATTTCTTCATCAATTAAAATATTCGAAAAAGTCAGAATTAAAAATAATCTCGATAAAAAAAATTGTAAAAATTAAAGTTGAGAATAAATTAAAATCGTAATATACGACAGTGAAAAGAATTTTGCAATAATGCAGAAATTCCGTATACTTTTCAATAGAAAAAATTAAAAAAAAAAAAAAAAAAAAACGAACTTGAAGAAGCAACCAACAACTTTTTCTCAAGAAGAAAATAACACGAAACGCAAATAAAACTCGCCGCATATCTTCAAGACACGAGTTGAAACGAACGAGATACGAAATCTCTGGCAATTTGTATACACGGTTTCCTAATTCGACGATGGCCGATGGCCGATAACATTCGTGCGACTTGGTCTATGACGCGACCGTTTAAGAAAGATCGTCCGAGAGATCGAATCG